TCAGGTTTGGTTGGTTTGCATATGAAAGATCGGCTCTAGGCCTAGAGCCTTTTGCTATCTCTAAGAATTGACTAGCCCAGGGAGGGGTAGTCTCCCCCAGGCCAACAAGTCACCAGCAAAATATCATGAAATACAGAAAATAAAGTTAGAAAGCCTGTTTCCTGTCCTTGGCCCACACAGTTCCTAAGTATTTAATTCTTTATCAGTAATGTAGAAATGAAAATATCTGTCTCACTTTATTGGATTGATGAGAACCAAATGAGTTAACATTTGTGAAAAAGCATTGACAATATAAATTCAGTATACACATAGTTGCCCTCAGGAATCATTATATCCAAGATGTCCTTGAAATTTATGAAAGAACGAACCCCTTAGTGTACAAGTGATTCTTGCTTAACTAAAACTTCTCATTGAGCAGGATACATGAAGTTACAAAACTTTTACTTTCATCATTATGTAATTCATTTCTGCACATCTTGATCCAAAAAAAAGTCATTATTAAATGACCATGAGACTGAAGGGCTCTATTCTACTCATCTTGGTCAGAAGAATAGATAAATTTTGCAAGATACTCTACTATGCAGAAGAATATATGATTTAATTTTTGCTTCAGTGAGCTCTTTTCTACATTATATATCATTAAATTGTTTTATATATTGGTATTTTAAGTCCTACATAGAAATAAAAAAAACACATAAGGTTGAGAAGTTGAGTATTTTGGATTGAATGTGTATTATGTAATAGCAAACAGCTGACAGTATTGATCAACTTAATAGCAGAATTAATGTTAGATTTGATACATATTTTCATCCTGTAATTTCTGTAATTACTGGCCTATGTACATCTGAATAGTTCACAGCTGGAGAATAAGTACCTGTGTGTTTGTTTTTGTTTTAAATAGGGGCAAAAACTTTTACCCACTGACTATATGTAGTATAGGACTGAACTGCCTAAAAGTATATTCATATAGATTAGTGTTATGAATTAATTGCTATACTCTACTTTCTCTACCTTATTGAATCTTGTGATTCTTTAAGATTAAAGTCAAGTTTCTCCTTCTTGGCCAAACCTGCCAAACCATCTCAGTTCACAAATGTTGCTATCCTTTGGACACTTATTCTGTTTATTATATATACTGTTTATTTGTTTCTTATATTCAGTTCTGTGCTGTCAATTGTGTTTTCATAATTTGTTACCTTAAAAATTAGGAACAGCAAAAATTCTTATATCTTCTTTCTTCATTTCTCTTATGGAACTTAACATACACTGTAAATTCACTAAATATTGTTTATTGCTTATTAACACATGATCTGTAGTATCCATGAAGTACTTTATAAGGCAAAAGAGTTTTAAGGTAAAAGTTACCCAATAATGGTACCCAATAGTTGGGTACAACTACCAAATAATGAAGTAGAACATTAAAAGTTTTTAGAATATTTAACTCTCTTTGATATTAAAGAGTGATTATAGTATCTTATGTTCCAAATTAGGATTTTTTTCATCATTACCATCTTTAGCCCTGGGAAGGGAAGACCTTACACTGTTCCTGGAGCTTTAGGTGACCTTGCCCTTTCACTTCTCTAGCTACACCCCTTTTTGTGAGTCAATGACCTCAGATGATAAGGAAATATGCTACTTAGATCCTGTGCTTTCCTTTTGTACCGCACTGTAGGTAAGACCCCAGAATTTCTTGCTCAGATGGCTTCCAGCTTTCTTTTAAGAACTTCAAGGCTTCTCGTTGGGGTCCACCCACCAATGGGTGTACTGTGCTACTGGTATGCTTAGCCTGGGTTGAACAGAGGACCAAAGTTGGCATCTTTTTGTAGCAGAGAGACACAGGTTGGACATGAGGCCTCAGATTACTCATACATGTGCTAGTGTGAAGCCCTTCATGGTATGGGATTTAGCTAGTCAGGGAAGGGAATAGAAATGCTATTGACTGAGGTTAGGGGTTGGCTCTAGATGGACCACCACATGCTGGCGTGGTATTCTGAGGATTCCAAATATTTTAAATTTGAACTTAGCTTTCTAGTATCTTTGTAAAGTAGGCAAATAGAACATACTTTGATTCTGATCTTATCTGGAGAATGATATATCATTTAAAAATATTTAGACATTTGGTATGTGAGCCCTCATGCTCCCATCCTTTCCTTTAACCCCACATTTTTAGAGACCTTATTTATTTTAATACTTGGAAATTATAACTAAAAGGTTGTATAACTATATAAATACAAATATAATTATTTAAATACAATATTTCCAAAGGCTACATTATGATTTAAATACAATACCATTTCTGTGTCTACTGATGTTAATATTTTTAGTAAATTTCATAGCCTTTTAGATCTTATAGCAATCTTGAATTTACTTGTATTATTGATTTAATTAATCATATTCAAATTTTAAAATCTAATTTCAATTATTTTCATTATTCTTGGCGAAGATGAAATTTAGCATGTGATCCGTTTTGACTATTTTGGTACCTGAATCTCACTTTAATTTCTTTTTTTTTTAATTAAAGAGAGAAGAAATACTATTGTTTATCAAACATCATAAACTTAACATAGAAAATGATGTACCATTTTGTTAAACATCCTTACGCAGTGCTTTGAGAAGAACCACATTTCTCATTATTTGTGCATGTTTTGTTAATTCCTTATCTCTTGGTTCAGATTAGTCCTGATTCAGAGAATGCATGTCATATTCTTCTAATTCCTGACCTTTTTTTCTATTAAACATTTTTCCCAAACCCAACATACATTAAAGTAAAGATATGTAATGATTTCGGGGTTTTTTTTTTGTCATAGAGACAATTTTTCACATTTTAGTTAATCTCATATTTTAGAAGAATTGATTGATGAGCATAGTTAATACTTTTTATTAATATGAAGAGATGAAGTCTGAAGGTGTTAAAATGTAATTAGTCAAACAGAATTTATTGAGAGTATAGCTCTATATTTCTATATGGGAGAGTAGAATATGTGGTGTACACAACAATAATACATTGCAATATTACATTTAAATAATGCAATTTACATACATTCCCTCAGAAACAAAATCAATTCTGATTAGAAGTTTATCTAAAATAAGAATAATCATAGAGGCTATCCAGTGGATAAAATGCTTAGAATTTTGAACGCTTATTTTGACAGTTCTCAGATTTTATTGTTTGCATCTTGTCTTACTGTTTATTTTCTGAATGTTTAGTTTACCATTTTAGATAAGCTATGATAATGCTGGTTTGCCTTTAAATTTTCAAGTGTAAGAGTCATGTAAGACCTATGATATGCTGATGAAAGGCATTTGGATGGGTAATTTCATGTGTGTCCATGAGATTATTGGATTACCTGTGATAGACAATGGGTGTGTTTTATAAAATTACATCCACAGTTCTGAAAGAATTCATTTATTTTTCTGGAAGTATCTTCTGAATTTCAAGCAAGCAATTAACAAATGAAATTTTAGATAAAGAATTATTTTGAAGTTTTCTTGATGGATAATGTAAATTATTTGTGGAAATTTAGAGTAGATAATTGGAAGTACTTAGCGCCTAACAATACGATAGACTAAGGAAAGTAGCCATTCTATAAGAAACTATACTAATTTAAATTCCACCAGTCTTGATTAAACTCTCTACAGCCAACTAAAATAAGAGAATATAGACAGACTGAGTTAAATAATCTTATAAATCACTGAAGTATGATATCAAGAAATATCACTTATTCACTATAGAAAATAGCTTATCATTTCCACTGTAATACAAATGAGAAACTATGATGTATATTTTCCCAGAAAGTATATTTTCTATATTAGTATATTTTCCCAGAAAGACTATAAAATTTGTTTATTGAAAATTACTATAATTATAAAAATAAGGTACATTACAATCTAAATTCATAATGTAGAAGTATGCAATATTAGATGTCTAAATGATGACATACCAATTGATTTCAGAGTACTCAAAGATTTTTACTAAAATTTTAAAAAAGAATAAGCAAGATTTTTCTATTCATATAAGTGGCAGAATGCTTTTATGTAAACACGCAGAAGTGAAGATAATCCAGTGATCTAGCTCAGTGTGAAAGCCAAAGTGTTTCCAGTGCTTATAAAGGCTTTTTTTTTGCCCCTTCTTTGCCTCTCTGTCTAGTGCCCATTCATACTGTCCCTAAAGCATCAAGGATTTATGCTTACTGTTTCCTCCTCATGAGTTTCACTGTCTCACCTCCAAGACATTACTTAAATGCCACTACCTCAGTAAGGCCTTCTCTGGCCATGCTACTTAAAATTGTGACCCTCTTCCCCAACTCCCTGCCTTATTTTTTTTCCCACTGTACTTTCTACCACATTATTCGGCTGACTTGTTTACAGTTTTTATTGTCTCTCTTCAGTCTAAGCAGGATCTATGAGGACAAGGAGTGTTTGTTCAGTGCTCTGTTTCTACTGCCCAGAAAAGTGCCTGACAAATAAATATTTCTTAAATATGTCTATGGCATGTAAATATTTAATTGACTACTGATAAATACACCTCAGTTTGTGACAAATTGGATATGAAGACAAATAGGTAACTAGATGCATTTGTCATTGGTGTAGTTATTTGATCAGTTAATCGGTCAGTTATTTTTACATTGTTTTTAGAGTACCAGAAACTATTTAAATTTCTTTACCTATGTTAACTAATTTATGCCTCACAACAATCCTATGAAACTGGTACTGTTATCAGTTCCATTGAGGAACTGAGGAAACTAGAGCTTAAGTAAAGTATCTCTTGGTGTTGCAACTAACATGTAAGAAGGTAAGATTCATACCAGAGCAGCTGCTATGCTCAGAACCCAAACTCTAACAGAAATCTCCTGTTTAAAATCCTGCACCATTGTTGCTTTGCTTTGCTTCATTTGTATCCTTTTTAGTCATTTTTTCTTTTCGTAAAATAGAAAATGTTGAAAGTATTCGTATCTGTTTACAACTGTTGTTTTATAATCATTTTTTTTTTCTTTTTGCAGTGGGATGCCATCACTGAAATGGATGAACACAATAGGCCCATTCACACGTACCAGGTATGCAATGTGATGGAACCAAACCAAAACAACTGGCTTCGTACAAACTGGATCTCCCGTGATGCAGCTCAGAAAATTTATGTGGAAATGAAGTTCACACTGAGGGATTGTAACAGCATCCCATGGGTCTTGGGGACTTGCAAAGAAACATTTAATCTGTATTATGTGGAATCAGATGAGTCCCATGGAATTAAATTCAAGCCAAGCCAGTATACAAAAATTGACACAATTGCTGCTGATGAAAGCTTTACCCAGATGGATCTGGGTGATCGCATCCTCAAACTCAACACCGAAATTCGTGAGGTGGGGCCTATAGAAAGGAAAGGATTTTATCTGGCTTTTCAAGACATCGGGGCTTGCATTGCCCTAGTTTCGGTCCGTGTTTTCTACAAAAAATGCCCCTTCACTGTCCGTAACCTGGCCATGTTTCCTGACACCATCCCAAGGGTTGATTCTTCCTCCTTGGTTGAAGTAAGGGGCTCTTGTGTGAAGAGTGCAGAAGAGCGTGACACTCCTAAACTGTATTGTGGAGCTGACGGAGATTGGCTAGTTCCTCTTGGGAGGTGTATCTGCAGTACAGGATATGAAGAAATCGAAGGTTCTTGCCACGGTAAGAAAGAAACATTTAAATAATTTACCTTGCATTTAAATAATGGTTTTTAAAGGTAAATTTGTTGTATATTTATTTTCAAATAAGGCATTTTTGAATGCTATTACCGGCAGGATTAACTATGGAAGAAATTAACTTATATTAAATATAAGATAATTTCTGGTTTTTTTCCTACTGGAGATGGTGTATGAAAATGTAAAATAAATTATATACCATGACAAATGTTCTTCCATATTGCCTTCTGTGAAGTAGTTGCTGTATGGTTTGCTGTATTTACCTAATTTTTACAAGGGAAGGCAACATCAATAGCAGAAGCAAAAAGCAAAAGTGATTCAGTTTGGGCATTTGTCTGTCTTTCATGTTTTGGTAGTTTACAGATAATATGACATTTAAAGACAGTTTTAAAGTAATGCTTTCTTTCATGTAAAATGGTAATAATTGAATAGTACCTAGGTAAACTGAACTTACATTTAAATAAATTGGGGAATTCATATGTTGCATATGAATCATATATATGTTTCAAAACATATAAGGTAGTTTATAGGAGTGTTACATGTTTGGTGATTTAGTACTGACTGTATGTATTAAACCTTAATTTATTTTTTGCTACTATTAAATACAGTTTCTCACCATATAATACATTAGTGGAATTTGCACAAGATCTAATTGTTAGGAAGTATTAACACAGTGCAGTGCTGATTAAGTTTAAAACATACCTTTCACATAGTTGTGATAAAGGAATATCTATATTTTCAAAATGAAACAATGTTTTCTTTTTATGTGATTCCTTTTATGAAAGCTTATTAATCTAATAAATATATACACTTTAAAAATTTTTGCATATCCCCTAATAAAGATAATTTATATCAATTGTGTTTGGATTTAGGACTCATAATAAAAATATAAATATAGAAATAAAATTATTGCTTGGTAAATAGTAATATAGTAGAGATATTTTCCTCTAATGGTAAATTACTTATTCATTTTTTTCTATAGTACCAATTTTGAATTTATTGACTTCTTTATTGATGCTATATTCCCACACATTAAATGGGATAAAAATAAATAAGAAAAAACATATATGTTTCTATATAAGGGTCATGGATAACCTATGTGAATTTTTAAAGGTTTTATCTGTTTATAAAACTTAGGTTCTTAAAAGTCAAAAAGTCTACTAGAGCATCCAGTAATGATTATATTAGATCATTTGAAAATATTGTCTGTATGAAATGTCTGTAGTATATTTTTATAAAGTGTGAACCAGCTTTCCTTCACTATTCAGTCATTAAAATGTGTTTCATGAAAGTCTATCTATATAAATTTAATTCAAAAATTTTATTCACCTATAACAAGGATTTAGAATGAAATAAGTTATAATACATTATGAATTATACTTTTAAGGTGCTCTATAAAATATTTTACATTGGAAAATGCACTAAAGAAAAATTCACATTTATGAATAACTTTTCAATGAGATTAAGAAGGTAGTAATAGCCAAGGATAAAACATATTACATATACTAACCATGTAGTTCTGCCATATTTTATATAAGGTAGAAGCAGGAATATTGGTGAAAATAATGTTTTTAATTATTTAAGGAATAATTATATAAGGATTTATGTGATTAATTATTATTAAAAATATTTTATGGTATTGACCACAGAATCAGAGATAGTGACAGTCATTGATAGCTAAATATTTCTTTGCTTTATATTTTTTCTCTGTGAAATTTCATTCTTATTTACATACGTTAAAATTCCTTCACTTGTTGGGTAGAGTTGATTTTGGACAAATGATAATTATTGGCTTATCTAGACTAATTTGTTTTTATGACTTATTATTTTTATTATAACTTATTTGATTGCAAAAATGAGGCTGTGGATACAGAGCAAATGTTCATCATCTTGTAGGGGATGGCAGAAATTGGAAGATTAGGCTTGGATTCTAAATCTATGGCTTACTAACTTTGAAATCACAGTTTTCTTATCAATAAGTAAAGTAGTGGTTATAATAATTTAATGATAAAGCATATGAAAGACTATTAAACACAAACATATATGTTTGGTTCCAATTGAATACAGTACATTGGAATACAGTATACAAGCACAAAGGAAGTCAGAGTGGATGTGAAGACCTCATTTTCGGACAAGGGTATCTTACACTACCACCAATTTCCATTTTAAACTATTTATTTGTGTGTTCTTGAAGCTTCATCTTGCTGCTTTCTAGTCTCTGATAATAATTTTTACCACCGATTATATTGCTGTCTGTTAACATCTTATCTCACAACCGAATCTCTGCATTAAATATAACCTAAATGGCAAATTAATTAGAATTTATGTGAATAAACCATAGCTCAAGTAATAATGTAACTATATATGTATATATATAATGGGACAGGAAAAATAATGTCTGTATACCATTTTCCTTTCTTCTGTTCTTTTCTGTTGGAACATTTAATCTATTTAAACTAGTAACATTTTTGAGTACTTACTATATGTTAATTATTTTGATAGGTGGTAGAAGTAAATATAAATGAAAGCATATATTTCAGTTGTCTATTGCAATTGAGATAAAATAACCCAAAACTTAATAGCTTAAATGTATAACAATGTATGAGTTCTTAGGGCTCAGCTGGGTAGTTCTTCTGCTTATTGTAGAATAAGCAGAGGTCACTCTTGCCGCTGAATTCAGCTGGGAGCTTGACTGGGGTTGGAAAGTCTAAGATGACTTGTCATCCAGGACCTCTCTCTGTATGACCTCACATCATTAAAGAATCTAACTCAAGCTTTTTAGAAGTGTAGTGGCTGAGGAGGGAGTTTTTCACTTGGCCAAGTATAAAGTGAGTATATGAGAGGACTACAAAAGGGGCTGAATACCTAGAAGTATGTTTGCAAGGAGCTGCCAGTGTAACAGTATACCACAATCTACTCTCTGAATTCTCATGATGAATGTCCCCACTTCATGCACAAATGCCCACATCTTCCCAAAGATCTGTCCCATTATGGCATTGTGTTGAAAGTTCAGGAGAACTTCATTGAAATCAGTTCTAGATGTGAATGAAGCTTCATAGCTAAAGCTCCCCTTGATCTGGAGAACTAGGGACTAAATGAGGTAAGTTATCCTCACATACACAACATGCATGGGACAGGGATAGGATAACTGTAAAAGATTCACACATTCCCAAAGGCAGGGAACAAACAGTCTGTCTGTTTGTGATTCAGAAATCCAATGAATGTTATCAGGATTCCTAATTATAGGGTCAGGGAATGTTCTTTTATTAGAACCCAGTTCTGCACCCTGAGATTGCTTCTCTGTGGCTTCATCACTTGACTTTGCCCTGAGTCATCCTCCTTAGTTATAAGAATTGCCCATGTAGCCAAATGGCCAGTTTAAACATCTGTCGTGAAAATTTAATTTAGTCCACAATATTATGAAGTGCTTTTTGTGTTTTCCAAGTTGTCACAGGTAGTATTCTTACCAGTTGTTGGATGACCTTTCATTATCTTATCTCTAATTGTAATTATCTTACTGCTCTTCCATCCTCCAGTCATAGTCTCGTTGCCACTCTTCCAGTCTCCACAGTCTGTTTATTACCAAAACAAATGCTATATTTTAGAATTTGGTTATAGCAGCACTCCTTATCTTGTACAGGTCATTTGCTTGCAGTCTGGAAATCTAGACTGGGTTCAGCTGGGTGGTTCTTCCGATGATTTTATCTGGGATCATTTATGCCACTATGCAGATGTTTACCAAGGCTAGACATCCAAAATGGCTTCACTCACCTGTCTGATGCTTCATCTGAGATGTTTGAGCCCCTTAGGTTGCTTACTGTCTAAATCCTGATAACAGTTTTAATGTTTCATGTGAGGAAATTATTGTTGTTTTTTTTTCTTTTATTCTTGTTTATCTAATTTTTCTTTCATACTTGTATATCTATTTCACCATGGCATTCAAGGGACTTCACAATTTGGCCTTGTCCTATTATTTTCTAACTTCGGCAAATTCTGTTTCCTGTTCTGTTTTTATTACTTTTGAATAATCCATGTATTTTCCATGTCCTTTGTTTTTTTTTTTTTCATATTTTATCTAGCTGCTTGGCGTCCCTTTCTTCTTCCTTTTCTGTGATGGAATTTTATTCATCCTTCAGGGTCTAGCACAAATGTCATTCATCTAGATCTTCACAAAGTTAATGCCTCTTTCCTCTGTGCTACAATTTGTACTAATTATTTATGTGTCTGTTTCACCAGGGCTGTCAGATAAAAGAGTTATATTTAAAAATCATTTGTGTAATGAAGGTTAAGAAATGTATTGATATGAATAAATAGAACTAGGTTCTACTGAGTAGTTAAAGGTAGAAGCTGTTGGTATATTGACAGAGTATTCTGTTTCTTCTCAGTTCTGTGAAATGGGAAAGTTTTCTTTAGGGAGAGTTGTGGTATTTTAGGTCTGGAAAGTCTTAGAAAATATTTTTATTTTTCATTTTATGAATCAGCATTCTAAGTTACTGAAAATAGAATTCTACTTCCTGGGCCCACTCAGTAACTACTACTAAATTTAGAACTAAAGCCTAGATAATTCTCAGTCTGGTCTTTGTGTGTTTTCCCTCCCTACCTCCTGCTCTTCTCCACTTCTTCACATATTCCCTTCTTTTCTCTTTCATTTCCTCATTCTAGGCATCCATGCCCTTACCTTGATACTTTAACTGTTCCTGCCTGCCAAACACAGTGCAGAGAAGCCCTAAGTTTCTCATCATCAATTAAGCCCTTTTTGCTCTGTATTTATTTAGTGGAATCTCATATGGGCACTGTTAGAACGGAATCTGTATATCTATTCTGTGATTCAAGTTACTGAGAATGATAGAAAAAATATAAATTTATCTGGAACTTTGCTGTTAGAGATGATAGAAAGGGAAAATCACAATGAGGCTTTAGGAATGGTCCTCATTACTTGCATAAATTTGAGAACCCTGCTATGTAACAAAAAAGCCGCTTTAAAAT